GTCATGATCTCACGGGGTTCATGAGTTTGAGCTCCACCTCGGGTTCTCTGCTGCCAGCGCAGAGCCTGCTTCAGATTCTGTCTCCCTCTCTCTCTGCTCCTCCCCTACTCATGCTCATGCTCTCGCTCTCTCTTTCCCTCTCTCAAAAATAAACAAACATTTAAAAAAATTAAAAAAAAAAGCTTGATCCTGAAAGGAACAGTATTCTGGAGCCAACTGGCTGGCAGTAAAGAGGGAATCACAGTATAAAAAAAAAACCATCAAACTCCAGAGAAACTTAAACTACAAAATCCAGGTCATTATAGTAACTGTACTGGGTTATAATGGAAAAAAAAAAAAGTTAAAAACGTGTAAGTAGGGGTGCCTGGGTGGCTCAGTCAGTTAAGCATTCGACTTCAGCTCAGGTCATGATCTCATGGTTCATGAGTTAAAGCCCCACATAGGGCCCTGTGCTGACAGCTCAGAGCCTGGAGCCTGCTTCACATTCTGTGTCCCCCTCTCTCTCTGCCTGTCCCCCACTCACACTCTCTTTCTCTCTCTCTCCCTCTCCCTCTCTCTCTCTCAAAAATAAACATTAAAAAAATAAGAGAAAAAATAAACATTAAAAATGAAATAAAATAAAATACGATTTACAGAACTGTTTGACACCCTTTACCACTTGTAAATAAAACAAAAAACTAATTTCAAATTACAAAGTGGCAAAAAATATTCACAAAAATATACAAGAACCATAAAGGGTCATGAAACTTAATATTAAAAAAAAAACTTTAAAAAAACCATAAGCTATGAAACTAGAAATCAAGTAGAAACACTCTGGAAAGAACACAAACACATGGAGGCTAAACAACATGCTACTAAGCCACAAATAGTTCAACCAAGAAATCAAAGAGGAAATCAAAAAATACATACAGACAGATGAAAATGAAAACACAATGGTCCAAAATCTTTGGGACTCAGCAAAAGCACCTCTAAGAGGGAAGTTTATAGAGATACAAGCCTACCTCAAGAAGCAAGAAAAGTTTCAAGTAAACAACCTAACCTTACATCTAAAGGAGCTAGAGAAAGAAGAACAAACAAAGCCCAAAGCTAGGGAAGGAAGGAAATAATAAATATTGGACTTTAAATAAATGTTTAAACCCCAAAAAAAAAAAAAAAAAAAAAAAAACCCAATAGAAAAGATCAATGAAACCAAGAGCTGGTTCTTTGAAAAGATCAACAAAATTTATAAACCTTGAATCAGACTCATCAAGAAAAAAGAATATTCAAACAAATAAAACCAGAAAAGAAAAAGAAGAAATAACAAGCGACATCACAGAAATGCAAAGGATCGTAAGAGAATATTATCAAAAATTACATTCCAACAAATTGGACAAGCAAGAAGAACTAGATACATTCCTAGAAACATATGATCTCCCAAAATTGGACCCAAAAGAAACAGAAAATTTGAACAGACTAATTATCAGCAATTAAACTGAATCAGTAATCAAAAAACACCCAACAAACAAAAGTCCAGGACCAGATGGCTTCACAGGTGAAATGTTTAAAAAAGAGTTACTACCTATTCTCAAACTATTCCAAAAAATAGAAGGGGGAAGAAAACTTCCAAGTTCATCCTACAAGGCCAGCATTTCCCTGATACCAAAACCAGACAAGGGCACTACAAAAAAAGAAAAATACAGGCCAATATTTCTGATGAACATAGATGCAAAAATCCTCAACAAAATATTAGCAAATGGAATCCAACAATATATTAAAATCCTAAGCCATAATCAAGTGAAATTTATTCCATATATCACATTAACAAGAGAAAAGATAAAAACTATATGATCATTTCAATAAATGCAGAAAAAGCATTTGACAAAATACAGTATTCATTCATAATAAAAACTCTCAATAAAGTGGGTTTAGAGGAAACATGCTCCAACATCATAAAGGCCATACATGAAAAACCCACAGCTAACATCATAGTTAATGGTAAGAAACTGAAAGCTTTTCCTCTAAGATCAGGAACAAGACAAGGATGTCCACTCTCACCACTTTTATTCAACATAGTACTGAAAGTCCTAACCACAGCAATAAGACAAGAAAAAAGACATAAAAGGCAGCCAAATGAGTAAAGAAGAAGTAAAATATCACTATTTGCAGATGACATGATACTCTATATAGAAAACTCTATAAAGACTTCACCAAAAAACCAGTAGAACTGAAAAATAAATTCAGTAAAGCTACAGAATACAAAATCCATATATAGAAATCTGTTGCATCTCTATATACTAATAATGAAGTAGCCAAAAAAGAAATTGAGAAAACAATCCCATTTACAATTGTACCAAAAAAGAATAAAATACCTAGGAAAAAATTTTACCAAGGAGGTAAATGATCTGTACTCTGCAAACTATAAAACATTGATGATAAAAAAAAAAAAAAAGAAAGAAAAGAAAATAACACCACCAGGGGCGCCAGGTAGCTCAGAAGGTTAAGCATCTGACTCTTATTTTGGCTCAGGTCATGACCTCACAGTTTCATGAGTTCAAGCCCCACATCGAGTTCTGTGCTGGCAGCATGGAGCCTGCTTGGGATTCTCTCTCATCCTCTCTCTCTGCCCCTTCCCCATTCGTGTTGTCTCTGTCTCTCTCAAATAAATAAGTAAACTTAAAAAAATTGAAAAAAGAAAATGACACAAACAAAAGGAAAGATACACTAAGATCATGGTTTGGAAGAATTAATATTTTTAAAATGTCCATATTACCCAAAGTGAGCTATAGATTCAATGCAATCCCTTCAAAATAGCAACAATTTCCACAGAACTAGAATAAATATTCCTAAAATTTGTACGGAACCACAAGACACCAAATAGCCAAAGCAGCCATAAGAAAGAAGAACTAAGCTGGAGGTTTCACAATCCTGGATTTCAAGATCTACTACAAAGCTGTAATAATCAAAATATCATAGTACTGACAGAAAACCTGACACACAGATCAATGGAACAGGAAAGAGAGCCCAAAAAATAAACCCACATGTATACGGTCAATTGGTCTATAACAAAGGGAGGTAAGAATATAGAATAGGGGGGCGCCTGGGTGGCGCAGTCGGTTAAGCGTCCGACTTCAGCCAGGTCACGATCTCGCGGTCCGGGAGTTCGAGCCCCGCGTCGGGCTCTGGGCTGATGGCTCAGAGCCTGGAGCCTGTTTCCGATTCTGTGTTTCCCTCTCTCTCTGCCCCTCCCCCGTTCATGCTCTGTCTCTCTCTCTATCCCAAAAATAAATAAACGTTAAAAAAAAAATTTTTTTAAAAAAAGAATATAGAATAGGGAAAAGACTGTCTTTTTCAGTAAATGGTACTGGGAAAACTGGACAGCTACATGCAAAAGAACGAAAATGGGCCACTTTCTTACAATATATGCAAAATAAACTCAAAATGGATTGAAAACCTAAATGTAAGACCTGAAACCATAAAACTTCTAAAAGAAAACACAGGCACTAATCCATATTTATGGATATTTCTCCTGAGGCAAAAGAAACAAAAGCAAAAATAAACTACTGGGACTATACCAAAATAAAAAGGTTTTGCACAGCAAAGGAAACCATCAACAAAACAAGAAGGCAACCTAGCGAATAGGAGAGGATACTTAAAAATACATATCCAATAAGGGGTTAATATCCAAAATATATAAAGGACTTATACAATTCAACACCAAAAAGGTCCAAGTAATCTGATTCAAATCTAGGCAGAGGACCTACATAGACATCTTCCCAAAAAAGACATCCAGATGGCCAACAGGCACATGAAAAGATGCTGAACATCACTAATCATCAGGAAAGTGCAAATCAAAACCACAATGAGATGTAACTTGACACCAGTCAGAATGGCTAGAATCAAATAAGTGTCGGTGATGATGTGGAGAAAAGGGAACCTTCGTGCGCTGTTAGTGGGAATGTAAATGGGTACTACCACTTTGGAAGACAGTAATTTAATTACTCAAAAAATTAAAAATAGAATTACCATATGATCCACTGATTCCACTACTGTGTATTTACCCAAAGATAATGAAAATACTTATTCAAAAAGATATATGCACCCCTATGTTTATTGCATTATTTACAATAGTCAAGATAAGGAAGCAACCCAAGTGTCTGTCAATAGATGAATGGATAAAGAAGATGTGGTACACACACACACACACACACACACACACACCATAAACAATAGAATATTACTCAGCCATAAAAACGAATGAAATCTTGATGCACCTAGCTGGCTCAGTCAGTGGCGTGTGTGACTCTCGATCTTGGGGCTGTGGGTTTGAGCCCCACACTGGGTGTAGAGATTACTTAAAAATAAAATCTTTTAAAAAAAATGAAATCTCACCATTTATGACAACACGAATGGACCTAGAGGCTATTATGCTAAGTGAAATAAGTCAGACAGAGAAAGTCAAATACCATAGGATTTCACTTATCTGTGGAATCTTAAGAACAAAACAAAACGAACAACCCAAAAACCAAAACAAACAGATTCTTAAAGACAGAGAACAAACTGGTGGTTGCCAGAGGAGAGGTCAATGGGGGAATGAGCAAAATAGATAAGGGGGAGTAAGAGGTACAAACCTCTAGATATAAAATAAATAAGTCACAGGGATGAAAAGTACAGCATAGGGAATAGAGTCAGTAATACTGTAATAACATTGTATGGTGACAGATGGTGAGTACACTTATTGTGGTATCTAGTAATGTATAAAACTTTCCAATCAATATGTTGTACATCTGAAACTAATAGAATATCCTATGTTAATTATAGCTCAATTTAAAAAAGTCCATAAGCTAAGATAAATAAAACAGCAATAGACAAGAGAAGGAAATTCACACAAGGGAAAGGAATGACCAATAAAAATTCCCTCATTATGCTGCTTGATTAAAATACAAGTTGTACAAATTAAAATAATCAGATACTATCTTTCATTCTGGATGAATTCCTGCCCCTGGGCACCCTTTCCTCCTCACCTCACACGGGTTGTCACATCTCCCCACAGCCAGAGCCAGGGATGGCCCGGGAGAGCTCTGGTTGGCTGGCATGTTCCCGCTGGGCCTCAGCCCTCCAGCTCTCTTCCTGATGCTCCTCCCAAGAGCCGGAAGCCAGGTGGGGTCCGTGGACTCAAACAGAGCTGCTGGGGCCGGAAGGAAGTTTCTGCAGCCTCCGCTATGGGGTCTGGCCCACGGGCTCAACAGAGACTCCAAGAAACCTGGAAAGACAGAGTCCACATAGTCAGTCATTCAGCAGTCACCCCACGAACACTTCCTGGAGGCACCCAAGTACAGTTCCTGGCAATGGATACTGCGGGGTAGACAAAGTCCAGTCAATATCGATTCTGGTTATTCATCAAAATGGAATATGAGCAAGACCATGAGATTTAGATTAAAATTAATAAAGGCTTACATTCTAGCTCTGCCAACTTTTAGCTACGAGAGTATAAAAATGTTTCTTCATTTTCTCTCTCTCAAAAATATTTTTAAAAAATTAAAAGGGGCACCTGGGTAGCTCAGTCGGTCTTCGGCTCCGGTCATGATCATGCAGTTTGTGGGTTTGAGCCCCACATCGGGCTAGCCTACTGCTGTCAGCGGGGAGCCCGCTTCAGATCCTCTGTCCCCCACTCTCTGCCCCTCCTCCACTTGCACTCTCTCAAAAATAAACATGTCAAAAAATGTTTCTTCATTTTCTTTTCAAAATGAGTCAAAACTACCTCATGAGGCTGTGAAAATTAAATGCAGTGCTGTTCATAAGACACTTAGCACCAGGCTGGCCCAAGTAAAACATTTAATTCATATTAGCAAGCATTGTGATTACACGGAATCATGGAATATGCAAAAGCAGGTACCTCCCTGAATTTGCACAACAATCCTGTCCCCTACATGTTGCCATAATCATTATTATTTCATTTTATGCACACAGAAACAGGGATTTAGTGATGTTAAGTCAAACCCAGTCTACCTGGCTTCAAAGCTCACATTCTCAACACTGCAACACAGTACCTTTTGTGTGGTCGGCTTAAAATAAACATGGTTCTGTTTAACAGATGTTGAAAACATGACTGCGGTTTGGAATAAAAAAAGAGGAAAGTTTCTTAAAACAGAAGAGATATGCCATAAGGAAAATATTAATAGCCTGGGACTGTAATGTTTTAATTACTTCAAAATATTCAGAGGTAAAACTGTTTCTCCTTTTACGGGGTCTAGGGAGGAGAGGATGTCTCTGTGTCTATGTTGAGGAACAATTTTATTCTGATCAACTAATGGAAGCACTATAGATTTAGTCATTCTTGGTAGGAAAGGGAAAGTATCCTTTATAAAATGAAGAGGAAGAGAAGTAAGAAAGACAACAACAATAAGAAATGGGATAAAAAGGCAACAAGAAAGTAAATAAGGAGTAAAATAAAAGGCATGATCAAGTTGAATTTTAAATACATAAACATGTTATACCAAAGAAAGAGGGACTATGCTTTCTTTTCTTATGCGCATTAACTTTTATAAAATTCCACCAAATAGTTTGGCCAGGAAGGAAATCTGGTAGATGTTTTTATACTGGGAATTGACAGGCTACATTGTCTGATCATAGTATAAGATGTTCAATATAGGGGCACCTGGGTGGCTCAGTTGATGAAGTGTCCAACTTCAGCTCAGGTCATGATCTCACTGTTCATGAGTTCAAGCCCCACACTGGGCTCTGTGCTGACAGCTCAGAGCCTGGAGCCTGCTTCGGATTCTGTGTCTCCCTCTCTCTCTGCCCCTCCCATGTTCACGCTCTCTCTCTCTCTCTCTCTCTCTCTCTCAAAACTAAATAAACATTAAAAAAATTTTTCTAAGATGTTCAATATCATTAGTCATTACGGAAATGCAAAGCAAAACCAAAATATTCTATTCATTAGGAGACTGCTTCACATCCATCAGGATGGCTAAAATAAGGGGGGGGGGAAGACAGTAGTAACAGGCATTGGTGAGATGCAAATCAATTGGATCATATATTGTCAGTGGAATTGTAAAATGGGATAGCCGCCCTGAAGAACAGTTTGGCAGTTCCTCAAAATGTTACTCATAGAGTCACCATATGATCCAGCAATGCCACTCCTAGGTACCTAGCCAAGAGAAATGGAAGCACACGTCTGCTCCAAAACTTATATACACAACTATTCACAGCAGTATTATTCACAGTAGCCAAAGTCTGGAAACCACATAAATGTCCATCATCTGAAAATGGATAACCAAAGTTTAGTATAGCCATACAATGGAATATCATGTGGCAATAAAAAAGAAGTATTAATACATGCTACAACATGAATAAACCATGAAATCACTATCTTACTTGAAAGAAGCCAGTCACACAAGACCACAGATTTTATGATTCCACTTATGTAAAATATTCAGAATAAGCAAATACATAGACACAGAAACTTGATTAGTAGTTGCCTAGGCTGGGAGTGTGGGGTGGCGTGAATGGTGAATATCTGCTAATGTGTACCAGGTTTCTTTCTGGGGTATTGAAAATGCTCTAAAATTAGACTGTGATAATGATTTCACAACTCTGTGAATGTACTAAAAACCACTGAACTGTATACTTTAAATGGATGAATTTTATGTTACTGGAATATATCTAAATCTATTTTGTATATCTAAATAAAGCTGATTTATTTTTTAATTTGTACTTTTTTAAATAAATCTGTTTTAAAAGAAAAGGAAGGCATTCCTAAATAATCCAGGGTAAGTGGGAAGTCAATACAGAAGCCACACAATTTTTACCAGAAGTCATGGGACACACTAAAGTCATATAGAATGAAATTTACACCTTTAAATGGTTGATTTTAATTAAAAATAAATATAACAACAAAAGAACTATGTGTTCAGCCTAAAACATTAGAATTAGAAAAAACTAAACTAGGCAAAGCCCCCTCCACCAAAAAAATAAAGTAGTTGCTAATAAAAATAAAATCTTAAATAATTCAAATAAATATAATAGGGGGTTTAAAGAAAACAAAGAGCTAGTCCTTTGAAATGACCAATGTCAGAGATAACCCCATGGCAAACCAGATAAAGGAGGATAGCTTAAAACATATAATAGGTATAGATATAGATATATAGACATAGATGTAGATATACATGTAGATATAGATATAGATATCCTTCCCAGATAAGGCAGTGTTTCAAACTACTTATTGTGGGATATTATGCATAACTGTATAGCAACATAGTTTCATATTGATGTGAAACAGGTGCTTCCCTAGCAAGGTGTAAATTAACAAAGTTAATACAGGGAAAAAACAAAAGAGAACAATAAATGTATAAGAGACCAGGAAAAAAAAGACATCACACAAAAATACAAATAGTAAGACTCTGAGATGTAGAAAGGAAAGGCAGATAGCCCATGGATCTCAGGGTCTGAGGAACAACACAGTGGTGAGTTCCCTAGGTTTCCTTTTCCTCCCATATATCACAAACAGGGCACTGGAGAAGCTTATAACTCAGAACTGTCAACAGGTACAGAGACAAAAACTCTGAGAAAAGCCTACTTCCTTAATCAAAGGACCAAGAAAAGGGTGGACTAACTAAACATATCCATCCCATTCCAGCCAAATACTAACAGAATACACTTTCTCTTCAAGCACCCATGCAATATTCTCCAATACCTACCACACCCAGGGTCATTAAACAAACCTCAGTAAATTGAAATCATATAGTGTATGTTCTCTAATATCATCAAACTGGAAATCAATACAGAAATATAACAGGAAAGCGTCTAAACACTTGGAAATCAAACAATAATTTCTTTTTTTTTTTTAATTTTTTTTAACATTTATTTATTTTTGAGACAGAGACAGACAGAGCATGAATGGGGGAGGGTCAGAGAGAGAGGGAGACACAGAATCTGAAACAGGCTCCAGGCTCTGAGCTGTCAGCACAGAGCCCGACGCGGGGCTCAAACCCACGGACAGTGAGATCGTGACCTGAGCCGAAGTCGGATGCTTAACCAACTGAGCCACCCAGGCACCCCAATAATTTCTATAGAATCCATGGATCAATGGAAATTAAAAAGTAATGAATTGAAACTAAAAACACAACATATCATAATTTTTTGGATGCAGATAAAGCAGTGTTGAGAGGGAAATTTATAGTACTAAATGTTTATATTAGAAAAGAATTAAGATGGGGCGTGTGGGTGGCTCAGTTGGTTGGGTGTCCGACTTCGGCTCAGGTCATGATCTCATGGTTCCTGGGTTCAAGCCCCGCGTCAGGCTCTGTGCTGACAGCTCAGAGCCTGGAGCCTGTTTCAGATTCTGTGTCTCCCTCTCGCTCTGTCCCTCCCATGCTCGTGTTCCGTCTCTCTTTCTCTCAAAAATGAATAAATGTTTTAAAAAATTTTTTAAAGAAAAGAATTAAGGTCTTAAATCAATAATTTAAGCTCCTATCTCAAGAAACTAGAAAACGAACAAAGAAAACTCAAAGCAAGCCAAAGGAAGGAAGTAATAAATAAAAGAGCATAAATCAATAAATTTAAAACACTTACCAAATTGTTGAATCACTCTATAGTACACCTGAAATAAACAAAAATAGTTGAGGAAAAAAATATATATGTAAACACAGGAAGAAAGAAAGAAAGAAAGAAAGAAAGAAAGAAAGAAAGAAAGAAAGAAAGAAATTGAAAACAGAAAAACAATAGAGAACAATCAATGAAACCAAAAGCTGGTTCTTTGAAAAGATTGATAAAATTGGTAATCCTCTAGTAAGACTGAAAAATATAAAAAGAAGATACAAATTACCAATATCAGAACTGAAACAGAAGACATAACTACAGACGCTAAACTTTCCATTAAACGGAAAGTGAGGGAATACCATAAACAACTTAAATCCACATATATCCAACAACTTGGATGAAATAGTCCAATTCTCCACAAAACACAAACTCCCACAACTCACCCACTATTAAATAGATACTCTGAAAAAAATAATCTCAATAGTCCTATAACTACTATAGAAGTTGGAGCCATAATCGGGGCGCCTGGGTGGCGCAGTCGGTTAAGCGTCCGACTTCAGCCAGGTCACGATCTCGCGGTCCGTGAGTTCGAGCCCCGCGTCGGGCTCTGGGCTGATGGCTCAGAGCCTGGAGCCTGTTTCCGATTCTGTGTCTCCCTCTCTCTCTGCCCCTCCCCCGTTCATGCTCTGTCTCTCTCTGTCCCAAAAATAAATAAACGTTGAAAAAAAAATTTTTAAAAAAAAATAAAAAAAAAAAGAAGTTGGAGCCATAATCAAACAGCTTCCAAAAGGAAATGTTCAAGCCCAGATGGTTTCACTGGAGAATGCTACCAAACACTTAAAGGAAAATTAGCATAACTCTACACAATCTCTTCCAGAAAATACAAAACAAAAGAATACTTCCCAACGCATTCTATGAGTTGTATATTACCCTAATCTAAAACCAGACAAAGACATAACAAAAAAAACCCACAAAACTATAGACCAGTATCTGTCATAAACTGAGTCTCAAAAATTCCTCAGGAAAAAAGCATTAGCTAATCAATTCCTGCAACATATAAAAAGAACTATACACCAAAACCAAGTGAGAATTATTCCTGGAATGTAAGGCTGGTTCAACATTCCAAAATAAAGAATAAAGAACCTAAAAATAGCCCCACACAAGTATGGCCAATTTATTTTTGACAAAGGCGCAAAACAAGTCAAGGAAGGAAGGCTAGTTTTCAACAAATGGTGCTTGAGTAATTGGACATCCAAACAGATGAGCTTCAATCTAAGTCTCACACTTTATACATTATTAACTCAAAAGGCATCATGGACAGCAGGAAAGAGAAATGCACCAATCACCATCACACTGGAGAGTTTCCCTCTCCTCTGTCAGTAACAGGAGAAAAAGACAACAAAGAGTGCAAATTTTGTATGACACAGTTGACAACTAAACAACTAAATATTATTTCTGATTAAAATACGGAACATTTATAAAAATTAACTATGACCTAGACCATGAGTGTCTTCCTATTTCAAGGAGGGAGCTTCACGTAGCCACTTTTCTTACCACAGAAGACTAAGGTTAGAAATCTATTAAAAAGATAAACTTTTGGAAACTAAAAACGCACTTCTAAGTAACTGGGGCAGAAGAAAAATCAACTCTTAGGGAACACTCAGAACATAATGCACCAAACCTTGTGGGTCTTGGAGTGAAGTTCAGGATCTTAACGTTGACAGAAGAGGAAAATAATGATCGAATCATCCAACTACGGTTAGACAACCGATTCTACCACTGACCACACAGAACTCCCCAACACTCACCCTCCCTGGGGACCCATCACCTCCACATCCCTCCGACACAGTGCAAAGAGATCCTCCCGACAACTATTGAACCACTGCTGAGAACCGTAGCTGCTTCCGGTCACCAACCCTAGCACCGCCCCTTCTCAGGGTTTGGGGCGAGGAACGAAGGGGGCGTGGTTCTGCACACGCGCAAAACCACATTCGAAGCCACTGTCAGTCCAAAGTCAACGTGGGGACGTTACGGAGTCGGTGCTTTGGCGCATTCAGTGCCCCTCGCCCGTGTTATCAAGCGGGGAAAATGGCCGCGCCCAGGTCGCACTTCCCTGTGGGGTGCGCCATGTTGGGGGAGTGATCATTCCGTACGGAGGGAGGGGAAGCCTCTAAACTCACAAGGCAGAGCAGTGGAGCCGTCTCACAGGTGGCGCAGAGCATGGGTGCGAACGTTATTCTGGGCGGTCTTCCTGGGGGAGGGGGTCTTTGCATCGGTACTCTGGATCTGTGCAATAATGTTCAGAGAAGTTGAAGGGCCTCTGGAAAGACGCAGACATGCCAGTGGCTGTTCTCTCCTGGCAGATACCACAGGATGAGAAGGGGGGGAAGTCAGACTGGTTTACAGTCCCCTCCTGGAACATACCACGAAGGAAGAAGGGGAAGAAATTGGGGGTGTGCAAACCCTACTAGGATGTAGCACTGGGGGGAAAAGGGGAGAAGTCAGTGTTAGATTCCCCTCTGCTGTGCTTGTGGGGGTTGGCTGTGGGGGTCTGAATGCTCCCATTAGTCTACATTATCTCCCACTCCAGCAACTCCAGATAAAATAAAAGGTATAAAATAATATATCTTTTGATTTTTTCTTAATCTAAAGCAATACGGCAATAAAAGCATCTTTAGGGAACCATTATTTTTATTTCCACATAAAATAAAATCTGCATAGTGATAGTCCCTTTGAAAATGTAGTTTTAAGACAAGACCGATTCTGCCTGACTTCAGCCAGTTTGTTGTCCCTAATAGTACTTCTCATATAGAAATTCTGGGGATGCCTATACCCTTCTAGGAGATGTCACTGGGCAGAAAGAGAAGAAGTCCCGTTGCCATTACCTGGGAATGCATACTCTTCCTTCAAAACCAAGTTCAGATATCTCCTCCTCCAGGGAATCCTCCTGATCGAGGTAGAAGGCCCTGTGCCCCGCTGAAGGCCTTTCTGAATCGTCAGGTGAGGAAGATGTTTTGAGAGGAACTGACACAGTCTCAGGTATGAACTTGCTGGATGCTCTCAGCCCAGTCACATCCCCTCTGGGTCTCAGTTTAACAATCTGGAATGTAAGGGTGTCCTACTCAGCCTAAGACCATCTGGGACTAATTTGTGGTCTGAAAGATCCATCAATCAATGAGGGAGACCACACACCAGAGGAACCACGGATTATTTCACTAATCAAAGGAAAAGATAGAGTTATAGGATTCTGAAAACTGGTGAAGTTCGGGTGAAATATAAATGAAAGTGTTTTGGTAACATGAAAGCAAAACAAGGCCGTATGTGAACTGCAAAGTGAACCGAGTCCTGTTTTTTTGGAAACGATAAAATTAAGATAGATGTAGAGTGTTGTGTCTAAGTACCCTTATCTCTGTTCAGGTTTGAAAATCTTGGCTGCATTTTTGGGTCTAAGTGACTTAGAGTCTCCAGCAAGAGGAGGATGTTTCGTTCGTACTGATACCGTTTTGAATGGCAGTTTTTTGATAGTCTATGATTGTAGAGAAGGAAGTTTCCCGGCAACTAAGAAAGTAGTAGTCACTCAAAATAGAGCTCTGTGTGACATTACAGCTGCAGTCCTTGGGAGAAATAATGTTTCCTGTTAATTTTGCATCTGTGATTGTTCTCCCAGCCTGATGAATGGCAGGGCAGGTTTTTATAGTCTGAGATAATTTTTGCTTTTTACAGTGTTGGACTCTCTAATTATTCCAAATTCTCTTTCTACATCTATAAGCCTGGTCTGAGAGTTTATTGAATGAATAAACGAAGAAGAAATTGAATCAAGGGTAGCATGTCTGGCATGCGGACACTTCTATACAGAGCTCCAAGAATCACTGTTAATGAAAAAAGGGGGAGGCAGTGCCTGAATGGCTCATTTGGTTAAGCCTCCGACTTCAGCTCAGGTCATGATCTCATGGCTTGTAAGAAAGATAATCATATTAAAATGGATTCCTGATATATAAAACATTTCAGTGGTGATCTACAGGCATACCTTGAAGATATCTCAGGTTTGGATCCAGACCATTGCAATAAAATAAATATTGCAATAAAGTGAATCAAATGAATTTTTTGGATTCCCTGTGCATATAAAAGTTATGTTTACATGGGGACCTGGCTGGCTCCGTCGGTTAGGCCTCCAACTTTTGGCTCAGGTCGTGGTCTCGTGGTTCTCGAGTTTCAACCCCACATTGGGCTTCCTGCTGTCAGCGCATAGCCCCCTTCAGATCTTCTGGCCCCCCCCCCGCCCCTCCCCCTGCCTTCTCTCTCTCTCTCTCTCTCTCTCTCTCTCTCTCTCAAAAATAAATAAACATTAAAAAAGAATCATTGTTGATGTTGTTGAACATCCTAATAGTACTACGGTTATGTTTAAAAAAATAATAGGTCATCTGTTAGACCATTTCAGAGAAGGAAAGATAGAGCCAATAAACATATGAAGAGATGTTCAAAGTCATTAGCGATCAGAGAAATACAAATCAAGACATAATGAGGTTATGTTTTACACCCATTCAATTTACAAAAATTTCATTCCGTAAATACCAAGAGGATGTGCACCCACAGGATCTTTTTGCCCTGTTGAAGGAATGTGAATCAGTGTAACAGCTTTAGAAAGTAGGCATTCCCTCCTACAGTGAATATTTACATATCTCACAATCCAACCAGTCCACTCTTAGGAATATACCCAAAAGAAACACTCTGCACAAACCTAGGATATGCATGACAATCTGTTCACAACAGCAAAACCAGGAAACAAAAATGGATGCTCATCAACAGGAGTCAAAATGAATAAACTAGAACAATGCTCAACAATATGGATGAATATTAAAGGAAAAGAGCCCTGTAATTCCCAAAAGATTATATAAAGAATAACACACTTTCACAAAATTAAAAGCTACTAGTATAAAGAACATAAATTATTTAGGATTGTGTGTAGTTGTGATAAAATCATATTAAAAAATAAAAGATTGATGAACTTGGGATTCAGGATGATATTTACCTCAGTTAAGGGGAGGCAGGGCAATGAATTGGGGGACCACATGGACAGATGGGGGTTATTGTCAAGGCCATACAATGGGTGGTAGGCACATTAAGTACTAACCTTATTATTAAAACTATTTAAATTAATTGGGAAAATTAAACTGTTAGATAAAAATCTAAATATAAAAAGAGAAAGTCGGCATGGAGAAAAGTGCTGTCCTTTCCTTGAATGGGGCAAGAAAATCTTTGGCCCCAGCCTAGAGATGCCATCCAGTGGTAGGATGAGCAGAGAGGCAGGAACTCCAGACCTTGACACTTACTGTAGCCCCCGACAGAGATGCTCTAGTTCCATTACACCTGCTCGTGTCTTTTCTTTAGATGTCTTTCTTTCCTGACTTACCCCACTACTCTCTAGCTCCTCACCATGCTTTTGTTTTCTTCATAGCCTTCCTTTAAAACATTTTTAATGTTTTTTTTTTTATTATTTTGAGACAGAGAGAGATTGAGAGAGCAAGGAGGGGAGGGGCGGAGAGAGAGAAGATCCCAAGTAGTTTCCCCACTGTCAGCGCAGAGCCTGATGCGGGGCTCCATCTCACAAACAGAGATCATGAGTTGGACGCTTAACTGACCCAGCCACCCAGATGCCCCTACCCTTCCTTTTTACCGGAAATGATTGTATTCATGTGCTGTTTGCTCCTTTCCTTGTTCACGCTGATAATGAAGTGATTTCTGCTTCTCACATATGTGGAGTAATCAACTACTTTATTTTTGGTATCTCCACCACACATGCAGAGAGCAGTAAAACACAACCAGGTTAGTCGTCTTAAAAGATTACTTATTCCCTTCAAAAGACTCTGCAAGCATCTCTGACTGACACAATTAGTTACAAAATTGACTTGGTAGGAGTAATGCAGGAAACAGTAAAAAGATGCAGAACGTATAAGTATATATAAGACCCTATTTGTTCATCCATAAAATATTTGTTGATCGCCAGTCACTGCTCTTGATGCTTGATGTTTGGCAAAACAAAACAGGCCCTAAATTCCTAGCTTCATGAGCCCAGCATCCTAGTGGGAAAGAGGGCAATAAACATTGTTTATCAAAAGTTGATAACTGCTAAAGGGGGTGGATGGGACAGTGATATGAGTTAGAAATGCAGGAGGGAGGGGAGTTGCCACGTCAAATAGATCAGTCTCCTTTTTTTTTTTTTTTAAATTTCAGAGAGAGCGTGAGGAAGGGAAGAGGGGCAGAGGGAGAGAGAGAAAATATTAAGCAGGATCCACGCTTAGCACGGAGCCCTATATGGGGCTGGATCCCATGACCCTGGGATCATGACCTGAGCCAAAATGAGGAGTTGGACACTCAACTGACTGAGTCACCCAGGAGCCCCTAGAGATCGGAGTTTCCTTTTAAACTCTACAAATGACTGTCTTGAATCCTGGAGCAGGCCAGTTGTGAATCTTCCCATTTATGCCAACGTCCAGTTGAAAACAAGTAAGAATGCAAGGTCAGAATATTTTCACATCTGCAGCTTAGGACAAAATGATGAGCACCTCTTTGTCCTACAGTAAATACAAAGATCAGTCTTCTGATCAGTCTTGTCTTGCACACTTTCTTTTAGTAGATGAAAAATATTTCACAACATTGTAACATATTATCTGTCTCCCACTGACAGAGATAGAACACTTCATGAAAGCATCAGGTTCAATGGCTAAGCAGGAACCTCAGCTTACTTATTCTACACCCAGATTTTAATTTCTATTTTATTTTTTAGGTTTTTTAATTTTTTTAATGTTTATTTTTGAGAGAGAGAGAGAGAGAGAGAGAGGAAGAGAGTGCAAGCAGGGGAGGGGCAGAGAGAGAGGGAGACACAAGATCTGAAGCAGGCTCCAGGCTCAGAGCTGTCAGCACAGAGGCTGATGCGGGGCTCAAACTCATGAACCGTGAGATCATGACCTGAGCCGAAGTCGGGCGCTCAACTGACTGAGCCACCCAGGCGCCCCTTTAAGTTTTTTTTTTTAATTTTTAAGTAATCTCTCCAACCAATGTGGGGTTCAAACTCACAACCCTGAGATCAAGAGTTACACACTCTGCCAACTGAGCCAGCCAGGTGCCCCTACACCCAACTTTAAAATAAAATGTTTTGTTTTATTTATTTTTGAGAGAGAGAGAGAGAGAGAGAGAGAGAGAGAGAGCAGGGGAGGGACAGAGGGAGAGGGAGACACAGAATCTGAAGACAGGCTCCAGGCTCTGAGCTAGCTGACAGCTCAGAGCCTGATGCAGGGCTTGAACTCACGAACCATGAGATCATGACCTGAGCCAAAGTCAGATGCTTAACCAACTGAGCCACCCAGGCACTCCCCTACACTCAGCTTTTTAATGGAAAATTTTTACATTACACAAAAGTTGAAAGAATTGTGCTATGAACATTCAAATGCCCTCCACCTGGATATAATAACTGTTACCTTTTGCCACATTTGCTTTATCTTTTTATACATACGTACATACATACAGGCCCCATCATTTAAAAATGATGTCCAGGGGAGCCTGGGTGGGTCAGCATCCGACTCTTCGTTTGGGCTCAAGTCATGATCTCACGGTTCATAAGTTCAAGCCCCATGTCAGGGTGGAAGCTGACAGCTCAGAGCTGGGGTTTTTTCTCTCTCTCTCTCTCTCTCTCTCTCTCTCTCTCTCTGTCTGCCCCTCCCCCCTCTCAAATAAATAAACTTTTATAAATAAATAAATAAAAATAATGTCCAAAGAAAATTATTTAAGTCATTGAAGGTTGTATTCAGCTGATGGGCATTAGGTAACACCCTGACTGAAGCAGGATTAGGGTTTTTATAGGGGAAAGTTGAATATGTATCTTTGCAGTTTGGGCTTAGGTGATAGTTTTGTGTACTTTAAGGGAAACTCACAGTTAGAGGGTTGCTCTTGTTTTTGTTCCCCTCTCTCGATGAGAGCCACATACCAGAAGAACAGCACTTTCTGAGAATTATTTTTGTAAGCCTTGTGGCTTATCTGCTAGT